AGAACTTCAAAGATTGCCCCAAAGTTTCTACCGGAGAGTCGAGACGAAAACGTGTGCCAGCCCCTATGCATAAGTTCACAAGGTCATGGAACTTGCAAGTTGATCACCAAAACATACATCAAGTGGATCACGTGATATCCCATTGTCACCACAGATAAGCACATGCAAGGCATACATCATGTGTTCTCAAATCCTTAAAGACTCATCAGATAATATAACTTCAAAGGGAAAACTCAATTCATCACAAGAGAGTAGAGGGGGAGAAACATCATAAGATCCAACTATAATAGCAAAGCTCGCGATACATCAAGATCGTGCCAAACACGAGAGAGAGAGAGAGAGAGAGAGAGAGAGAGAGAGAGATCAAACACATAGCTACTGGTACATACCCTCAGCCCCGAGGGAGAACTACTCCCTCCTCGTCATGGAGAGCGCCGGGATGATGAAGATGGCCACCGGAGAGGGATTCCCCCCTCCGGCAGCGTGCCGGAATGGGTCTAGATTAGTTTTCGGTGGCTACAGAGGCTTGCGGCGGCGGAATTCCCGGTCTAGGTTTCTTTTTGGAAGTTTCAGTATATATAAGAGGTTTTGGCGTCGAGAACAAGTCAGAGGGGTCTCCAGGTTGTCCATGAGGTAGGGAGGCGCGCCCCCACCCTCGTGGGAAGCCCGGGACTCTTTTGGCCCAATTCTTTTACTCCATGGCCTTCTTTTGGTCCAAAAATAAGTTCTGTCAAGTTTCAGGTCAATTGGACTCCATTTGATTTTCCTTTTCTATAAAACTCAAAAACAATAAAAAAACATAAACTGGCATTAGGCTCTAGGTTAATAGGTTAGTCACAAAAATCATATAAAATAGCATATAAAACATCCAAGGTTGATAATATAATAGCATGGAACAATAAAAAATTGTAGATACGTTGGAGACGTATCAGACTGCCATCCAGCCGATAATAATTCATGAAGCAGGTTTGTTGATGGACGACGTTAGCTGGTTATTCTATAGAAAGTGGCATGGGATGGGATATGGGTGCCCTTTGCTTTTGTTTAGCCTTCTTAAGGCAATTTGTATTCTTACATATCTAAGATATATTCACTTTGTTGTATGAGTTGTATCTTAGTAGAAACACCCTTACTGTATTCTTTCATTAGTTTTGGCTTTCCGGAGTTATTGTTGCGGATTTATTTTGTTATGTGTTTTGTGATACCGACCGTTCCATCATATGGTGTGCACATTTCGACGTGCTCATTGTGTGAAAGTGGTGCCTTAGGATCGACGTGGAGGCTAGTGGAGGATGTTAGATCTACATAGTGCCGATCCCAGGGTGCTACAAAGCGGTGAGCGAAATATTGTCTACCTGAGTGAACCTCCTTTCTGACAAAGGGTGGAACTAAAGAAAATAGAGGAGGAGAAGAGATACAAACTCTTCTTGAATGTGTAAAGGGAGATGATGAAATTTGACAGGAGGGTGAGGGAGATGATGATAATTGAGAGGGAGAGGATATAAATGGAGAGGATGAAAGCAAGAGGCCATATGAAGTTTGAGAGGAAGAAAGCGATGAAGCTCCTTAAAACCGAGAGAGAAGATGAGGATCGCAAGGTGGCAGGCTACCTATTAAGGGTAGGCCCATGAAGGTCCAAAGCATCACAAATTATAGGGTGTATACATGAGATACTCGTAGATCAATCTCAACCATCTAAGAATTTGCTCGAACGGCATCAGAGCTCTTGCTCACTCGGACGAGGTAGCACACTTGATACTCAGACAAATGTTCATAGAATACTTAGTAGGCTGCTCACAAGCATTCATATATGCAAGCTACTCAAGTGTGTGAAGCTGAACAACCAGAGGAAACATCTGAAGCGCCACAATGTTTAATGAAACATAAGTTATTAGTTTAAATACCGTCAGTTACCACCTATATTGGGTTTAATCAATGTAACACTTCAATTCCTCTGTAACAGCAAAGGCTAGGGCCTTGACACACTATGTAAACCACCCCTCGTAGACAGGGGTTTACATATCATTATAATCCTCATCAGACGCAGAGAAAGAAAAGCTCCTGAAGCTCGAGACTTAGGGTCTTTACCTCTATCGAGAGGGGTCTGAACTCGTAAAATTCCCGTGTCACACTTACGCCTAGGTAGATCTAGCATCGCATCTATCCCTATCTCTTACTGCCAGAATCATCCCCATGACACAAGATTCAACGGTGAGTCGAGGATCATATTAGCCAACAGAAGCCTTTTGGACGATGATACCAAAGAGTGGATCACCTCCACGTGCAAAGACATCACCAAATGCAAGGAAAACACTTGATTCACTGGTTTATATGAAATGTTGAATTTTATTTGCCATGGATGATTTTGGCATTGTTTGAATTGCTAAATATGTGCTATTTCTATTATCAAGTGATTTTATATGAATTTTGATTTTGGAAACAGGCAAAAAAATCTCTTCCATTTTCTGTCAATGGATATTTTCAAATATTTTCATAGACAAATGAAGGGCCGCATTTGATAATTGTGACTGGAGATGCTCTAGTTTTTACCGCAAAAAAGCTCTAGTTTAAGAGCATCTCCAGCCGTTAGCCCCCCCAGGAGGCATAAAAATCGCCCCTGGGGGCGAGCCGGCGATACAATTAGCGCTGGGGGCGGTTGGGCGTCCAGTCGTCGCCCCCAGGCGCCGTGATTGGCCTAGTTTTCGGCCCACTTTCGGCGAATAAAGGCCCCATATGGGTGATAATTGGCTCATATTTGGTGTGGTTTGCGGTGGCTCGGCGTTCAATTATGAACATAAATATTTTTTTATCACATAGTTCATCACAGAAAATCAAATAGTTCAACAAAATAGTGCAACAACAAATAGTTCGATACAAATTATAGTTCAACAAATAAAAACTCATATTTCATCACACATCAAGCCCGCCGTCGCCCTTGAGCCTCCATAGGTGCTCCACTAGATCCTGCTGCAGTTGATGATGCACCTGTGGGTCTCGAATCTCGTGACGCATACTGAGGTAGGCAGTCCAGTTTGCCGGTAGTTGGTGATCAACTTCGGCTAGAGGACCCTGCCTGTAGTATGATTCAGTGTCAAACACTGGCTCTTCCTGCTCGCTCTCGATGATCATGTTGTGCAAGATGACACAGCAAGTCATGATCTCCCACATTTGATCTTTCGACCAGGTCTGAGCAGGGTAGCGGACAATAGCAAATCGAGATTGGAGCATACCAAAAGCCCGCTCGACATCCTTCCTGCAAGCCTCCTGCACCTTGGCAAAGTGGAACTTCTTGCCTCCTGGCACATCGTTTGAGATAGTCTTTACAAATGTAGACCATCTCGGATAGATGCCATCAGCTAGGTAGTACCCCTTGTTGTAGTGCGGCCCATTGACCTCAAAGTTCACTGAAGGAGAATGACCTTCAGCAAGCTTGGCAAAGACAGGGGAGCACTGCAGCACGTTAATGTCATTGTGAGTTCCTGACATACCAAAGAAGGAGTGCCAAATGCAGAGGTCCTGTGTGGCCACCGTCTCAAGTACCACACTGCAACCGCCTTTGGCGCCTTTGTACATCCCCTGCCAAGCAAATGGGCAGTTCTTCCATTTCCAATGCATGCAGTCGATGCTTCCAAGCATCCCGGGAAATCTTCTTGCTGCATTCTGTGCTAGGATCCGAGCAGTGTCTTCTGCATTGGGTGGTCGCAAGTATTGCGGTCCAAACACTGCCACGATTGCCCGACAGAATTTGTAGAAACACTCAATAGTGGTGGACTCAGCTAACTCATAGTCGTCGAGAGAATCACTGGGAGCTCTGTATGCAAGCATCCTCATCGCTGTCGTGCACTTTTGGATCGAGGTGAATCCAAGTTTGCCGGTGCAATCCTTCTTGCACTTGAAGTAGCTGTCGAACTCCCGGATGGAATTCACAATCCTGAGGAAAAGCTTTTGGCTCATCCGATAACAGCGCCGAAATGTTTTGTCGCCGTGCAGTGGAGCGTTGGCGAAGTAGTCGGAGTAAAGCATGCAGTAGCCTTCGAGACGATACTGGTTCTTTGCTTTCACCGCCCCGGCGCCGAGCCACCTCGCCGCGGCTTTTCATTGCTCGCCAGCAGCTGGCCGAGGGCGGCGAGTACCATGAGATGCTCTTCTTCCTGGACGTCGGCCTCGGCTTCCTCCTCCAGCAGCGCGGCGAGCGCTTCCTCGTCATCCGAGTCCATCTCGCCGTGGCAG